GCGCGCCCCCCCCCGCCCCCACACACACGCGGGCGCGCGGACGCGCGCGCGCGCGCGCGCCCCCCGCGCCCCCCCCGGGGGGCCCCGCGGGCGCGCCCACACACACGCGCGCGCACACACACACGCGCGCACACACCCCCCCCCCCCCCGCGCTATACATCTCTCTATATCGCGCCCCCCGCCCCCCCCCCCCCCACACACCCCCGCCCCCCCCCCCCCGCGCGCCCCCGCGCCCCCCCCCCCCCCCTCTCTCTCCCCCCGCGAGAGGCGCCCCCCGCCACACCCCTATATATATATATATATGTATATATGTGTGTATATATATATATGTGTGTGTGTGTGTGTGTGTGTGTGTGTGTGTGTGTGTGTGTGTGTGTGTGTGTGTGTGTGTGTATGTATATATATATATATATATATATATATATATATATATATATATATATATATATATATATAACGATGATAAAAAGAATATAAAATTATTTAATATTGATAATAAATAGTAATATAATATATAACATGGCTATACCATGAGAAATTGCGTTTTGACTACATGCACGGTTCTCTGGAATGCAAGTAAGCATTTACGACATCAATATGAAAAAAACAGCTATTCTAAACAAGTTTAGCACAGACTTTGATGTCAGCAAAGTCTGTGCTAAACTTGTTTAGAATAGCTGTTTATTAGAATGTACGCAGTTTGCGTAGGACACGCAGCAAAGTGATAACCACGCCCTCTCCGGTCACAGAATGGCGTAACACCGGACATGAAAACATCGTTTGACATTTGATAGTTAGAAGGCAGTGTGCAGACGTTTACTGAGATACAGAACAAAGCCATCATGGTCTCAGAATGGGTCTTATATATAATATTTTACCTGCTCTCTGCTGTTTTTACTGCATTTCTTGCGTATTGTCTGTACATTCATCATCTTCATCAGAAATATGATCATATACCTGGACCTCCCAGAGACAAGTAAGAAACTTTAAGAACTGTTATAAATAAATGTATTTGATACAAACGTATCGCAATAGGATTTTTATTTTGTTTATCGTTTTTGTTGAAGTGATCAAGTTACAAGTAAATAACTTGTAAATGTATATTCTTACAGTTTTCTGCTTGGACATTCACCATCTCTTACTAAAGCGATGTACTCCGACGACAGCCTTATACATGACTTATTTCTTCAATGGTATGACATTTTTTTAAACCCATATATTATATATGTAAGTTTTATTTATTTTTACTTGTTGATTTGAAATATGAATTTGGTCAAATTTTTATTTTGAAATTTGAAACTTGGTTCAGATACAAGCAGTTCTACAAAAAGTCCACATTCAGTTTAATCAACTCAATGTATATTTAGTAAACGTTTATACATGTATATGAAGACATTTAAATGTTCATAATAAATACACACAGTACACGCACATATATGTAAATACAAACCTTTATTTCTGTA